TTCGATCACTACGTAAATTATATCTTTCATTCGGTTGACGAACGTGTAAATGCACAGACAAATAACCAGGAGTAAGTCCTTTCACGATTTTAGAAAATGTTAATAGTCGTGAAATTCGAAAATGTTCTTTCAGAGAGAACCACCCTAATATTTCATACACTCTCTCTTGATGTTCCTTCCATCGCATCTACAGTTGCAATTGCTGCTTTATATTGTATACTTTCTAATTTATTCAAGTTAGCCATAATAGTTAAGGAGTAAATAACAGAATCATAGTTCAAAATTGATAAAATACATGCTTTATAGATAATTTCTAGTGCATTTCTAGATAATACATGTTTATAATACTTCATCAATCAAATAAAAATAAATATTTAGTTTCCATACAGAAGTGATGTATTTGATGTATCTTTGAAAGCTCGAATTAACACTGCTTACAGTCGATTTTTTATTCTCATAAATAAATTCGAATCAGCAGTAACTCTCATATCTATAGCAGGTCATGCATAACCTATCCTAACCTGTCCTGTCCTGACAGGTTAAGACAGGTTTAGATTACGACTTCGCAGTTCAGGATAGATTATAGGTTACGAAAATTTTTACAGGACAGGTTACAGTACCCGTACCGTGTTTTCAACCTGTACAAAAAAAGATTAAGCGCCATCTGTAAAGAGGAAGACTTAAGAACTCGAAAAATAGTTTTTATTAATCAAAAAAAAATATTTAGTGTATCAGAAAGAGTATTGGAAACATGAAGACAGTCGTTGAATCTCGATGTTATTGACGATATACTATCAAAAATTTCAGTCGTGTGTGATCTTTTGTTATTGTTTTTTGTTGCATAAATAAAGTAAATGAAAAGAATTTACCTTATTAGGAAAGTTTTTCAAACTTGAATACTCATTTTTTATAGTAATTTTTTCGCACGACAGGACAGAATAGATTACACAAAAAATATTACAGGTTAAGACAAGTTACAGGTTATGAGGTATAAGGTTATGAAAGGTTATAGGTTGTTAAAGTTTTTACAGGACAGATAATAGGTTATAACAAAGTAACCTGTAAGGCTCTAATCTATAGATAATCGAATTTGTTATCAATCAGTGTTAGAGGACTTACGCCAGTTATCGTGGGCGCCTCACGATCAGATCTAAACGCATCTAGATTACTGCAGGGAAATACACATTACTGATCATTCTAAATCGTACGACAACATGTGGTTTCAAAAAATAAATTGCAAAACGTAATGAAAACTTGTGCTGGAAAGCAAAAATATTTTCAAGACTATTTTCTTACAAGAATGAAGTTATAACACTTCACACAAAAATTAACGCAAATTAATTAGTTTTATTACTTATAAGTCTGTAAAATCTATTATAGATAATATTTATCAAGACACGTGACATACATCTCTTCTAGATGAAAATTAGAAATTTATCTTAAAGAATTTTTAGATATTCACATCACCTTGTTTAATTTTTAATTCATATCGATACGTTATTTAAGGTCTTGGTAGTTCTATCATTATATTATGTGCTACTAAACTGTTGTTCGCTCAAATTTTAGCGAGAACTGGCTACGCTCTACGCTCAGAATCGCAACGTATATGGATAGTATAAAAACCGAATATCATTTTGCCACAAACTTAGACCATTCAACTAGCATTATTAATATTAATGCATGTCTTAATACATTTAAGATAAGCGAGAAATTTTCTTTGAGGCTAAATGAAGGTCTAACTGAGATTTATCTGTACGCAAGAGTAGTTTCTGCATAAAACCAGAACATTACGTTTAAAAAGAACAAAAAAGTTCTTAAGAAATACAGGAAACTAGTATATAAAAGAGTTAAAAAATTATTGTATTATTATTAGATCGACCTGTTCATTAACAAAAGAAAAGCGGGAGTTCGAACAAAAAGTATTTTTTGTTCACTAGACAACTCGTTAAAATAATTTCTTTTACCTAGTAGGAATTAGTATTTTTTCATAATTTACGTTACATCGTTTAATCGCATACGAATATATATTCACACACACGCATATAATAGAAAAACATTGTCAGAATTCTTACGAAGAAAAAAAGATTTTATGTAAATTATGGATAAACTGAAAATGGTAATTCTATGGATGCAAAAGCAAGAAAACGCATTTCTGATGTTAAAACGTCGTCGAACATTTTCTGTTTCTTCCAGGCTGAGAAAGAATGGATTGATATTTGCCGGCGACCTCCCTGTTTTAAATTACAATAGAGTAGATTGTTTTCATTTCTTTCCCGTCATTCGTTTCTAGAAACAAACGATGGAAAAGGAATGAAAACACTATTTCAATTTATTCTAGTCTAGTCGAAGTGTTGCTACGTTATGGTTATATCCATGATATATTTTAATTCGCTAATTGTTAGCTTTTTTTAAAATATGGCACATTTTATCTATAATTTTCATGCATGTCAGTAGATACTCTAATGTTCAATGTTTCTTCTGTTCATCTTGCTGATTAAACGAAATATTTTTCCTTGAAAAAAGATAAAAAAATCTCTTGTATGTCAAACTAGAATAAACTCGAAACTGTCAAGTCTCTTAGAGGTTTCGCAGCATCCTACATTGACCGATAAGGGTAACTGTAAAATAGAGTAATTCTTTCTTCTTCCTCCTACGTATAATGAACTCACATAGTGAAGAATTTCTAGTTTTCTTCTCTTTCTTTTTTGCATCGATAGTTAGTTAGTTTCATCTGAAATCTGAAAGCAAACACGATGTTATATTCAGATGACATCCAGACATCGGAATATTAATTCCCTATTGCTTAATGAAGTTATTTTTAATATTAAATCATCGAGGTGAGGACATGTATATAGTCTGTTTGTGTGAAAATAATATGAGTATTCAAACTACTGTAGACTCTCGATTTTTCTAACATTACAATATCTAGAGGACTTAATAAGAAAAAGGGTTTCCTTTATTGGTTAGATTGTATTTTGGTCTTGAAAATAGAAAGAAAAATGCGTGCTTTTAATGATAAATATTCGTGTAAGATTGTATCTTATTAATAGTATGTAATTGAAAGTAGATAAAAAAATAAATTGAAATGTAATATTCCAAATAGGAAATGTTGGGAGTATTTTTGTTTCTTATGATTTTTGACAGTTCTTCTTCTCCTTTTATGCTTGATTATTATCTATTTTATTAGGATTATGATTATTTTTCTTATAAGAAGTAACATTGATATGTGTGATCAAAATAATTGGAATGAAGAAAAAAGAAAAAGAAATAGATACTCGACAACAAGATCTAACTGTCTTAAAGAAAGATTGTAATATGTATTCTATGTTGCAGAATACATATTACAATCTCAAGTTTTTTTTTTCTTTTCTAATAAACTTCCACGCCGTGTTGCTTTAGATAGGTCTCTTTTATTTTCGAAACCATTCTTCCTTTTATAAAGACTAAACAAAACCAATTCTTTTTCTTTTATATATATATATAGTGACAAGTTTTTTTCTTCTTTTTTTTTTATGAATAAAAAAAAAAAAGAAAAGATATATCAAAAATCTTTTTCTTTATATAAATTCTTCTGCCAAACTTTTTAAGGGGGAAAAATGCAAAAAAAAGAAAAGGTCTAAAACAGGGCTACATTTCCAACTAAACAAAAAGAGAAAATGGAAAATAGTAGGAAAAAAAAGAAATAAAGAATATGTGTTCATGATTGCAATAAAAAAAAAGGAGAAACAAACGTATGTCGGTGATTATTATTTCTTTATGAACGTCAAAGTTTAATGATTTCTGTTTATAAAATATTGTAGAAGTTGGCCTATTCGTTTTTTTTTTTATTTAAACATAAACGAAGATGTGGATGAACTCCGATGAATTCTGATGATCTTTAAGACTATTGATTATACAACGATTACAGTCACCATCATAGGTATATATACTTCATCTCAACAATATTTTCTACACATAATAGAGTATGAATTTTAGTCTAAAACAGGAGACTCATTCACACAAGCTATTTAACAATGCGTCACTAATTTTCAATCCAAATATCTCTAATCGTTTTCATTTAAAAGAAGTAAATTAAATGATGTGAATACAAATTTTATACTGTACATAATATGCACTGAAATGGAAAGAGGTACTTAAGGCTTATGACTATTTTAAGTGTCACTAATCATAACATTAGAGAATAATAAGCGGAGTAATTGTCCTGTTCTACAATGTTAGATTGTGTTTATAAACCGGAATAATTTTAGTGTCGTAAATCAGATCCTTTGAACATTTACCAAACTCGTCTATGTAATTATGCGCTGTTTTACCATTCCAGTTACAGAAATGTCATAAATTCTTTCTTATTTTCCGTTGAACCCTTTAATATTCATCGAAAACAAACGATCTATTAGTTAAATTGTTATGTATATATAACAGATATAAGGAACCAGGTAATAACAGATGATCTATCAATTTTGAAGTAGGAATAATTGAGATCACGTGATATTTTTCTCCTGTACGTATCTTTTAAAATTAAAGTTAATTCTGTCGGTAATGGATAAACAAAAACTTAACCGAGACCAATTATGTTTTCTAGTGAAAATTTGAAAAACAAATTAGCACTTTCACGATTATTCGTGTTTTTTTTGTGAATTTCTAAACGTCGTTAGAGCCAGTTTTATCAAATTTTAACCATAGTCAATTGTATAGAAAGCCTGGGGATATTTATAAGTTTATCCCTTGAGAAATGAACAATTCTCTAAAAAATAAATCTAATTGAAAACTTACGATTAACCGTAAATCACTAATTTATTTGAACGATATACAGTCTCGAAAGTAGAGTGTTGCTAATATAAATAATTGAGAGTCATTACATTTAACCCTAAATAATCTAATAATTGTTGAAAAACAAAGTAGAAGAAGAAAATAAGGAACAGAACTATTTAAATTATTAAAATCTTTCATTAAAATTGAAATATTTTTTTCGTTTTTAGTTGTCTAAGTGTAAAAGACTTGAAATGAATCGTACACTGTCAGATACAACAAACTTCACTCAATTATTTGAGCCCTTAGTTGCTGTTTTTCCTCAACGTGTTAATCTTGACAATTCTTTTTTGGCATTCAGTCTTGATTCATCAACATCTTCGGGACATATGAAACCAGCATTAGAAAGTCATCCGTTGATGATGACAACATTCATTTCATTGTATACACTAATCTTTTTCTTTGGCATAAGTGGAAATTTTCTTGTTGTCCTCGTCGTATGTCGAAACAAAACCATGCAAACAGTTACTAATGTATTTATCACAAATTTAGCATTTTCCGATATTCTAATGTGTTGCCTAGCTGTACCATTTACCGCAATATCAGCCTATGTGCCTAGTTGGCATCTTGGACGTATTTTATGCCATATTGTACCAATGTCATTGGGAATATCGGTTTATGTATCAACGTTAACATCATTAGCTATAGCTGTGGACAGATATTTTGTTATTGTTCATCCATTTCGTTCAAGAATGAGATTAGGCGTTTGTATTCTATTAATTATTGTTATCTGGATTGTGGGCATATCAATATCGTTACCATTAGCTATCTACATGAGATTTGATAAAGGGAAATGTGGGGTAAATTAATTGAAAATCATCTAAATTATTCTAAAGTTAGACTGAAACATCTTATCCTCTTTATATTTTAGGAATACTGGCCTCAACATACATCACGACGTTTTTTCAATTTTTCCTCATTAATTCTTCAATATTTGATACCATTCAGTGTTATTTCCTTTAGCTATTACAAAGTATGGTTAGCACTGGCTCGCCGTCGTTTACCAGGTCGAACACGTGTCAAAGAAGAAATAGAAATTTGTCGAAAAAAACGAACTAATCGGATGTTAATTGCAATGGTAAAGTGTGATTACATTGTAAGTGAGTCGTTCAAATGTTAGTTTTGTGTATCGTTCTAGGTTGTGATATTTGCTATATGTTGGCTCCCATTGAATATTGTTCATATGGTATCAGAATTTCATCGTCAAGAATTAAAAAACAACTATACAACATTATTTTTGACTACCCATGTTATTGCTATGAGCTCAACAATTTATAATCCATTTTTATATGCTTGGTTAAACGATAATTTTCGTAAAGAATTTCAACAAATTGTTCCATGGTTTTTTAAGCTATTTGTATGTTGTAATAATCAACGTACACTTACTGTATCAGAAGGGGAGTACTATGACCGTCCATCAACATTCCAGTTGCCACCAGAATCAACAATGGCCACTGGTCTATCAGCAAAGAAAGATGACAATTTACATATGATTAGTGAAAAAGAAAATGGATCAACATTTATACCAAAAGCAGCCATCATAGCCACACTAGACAAGGGAAAAAAATTAAAAAAGTTTTCGAGAAAAACATCAGCTGGTAGTGATTCACCATTTATTCATGTATCAATACCACCATCATCTTCAATACCTTTATTACAATCGGGACCAAGTTCAGTTTCTAACAATGAGACAAGTCGAACACGAATACTGCCGTTTGATGAAGTCACAACACAACAAAAAGTGCATGGTATCAGCAAAAAATCAAAGAGGGAACACAGACAATGACACAAAACGATGAAACAGTATCAGTGTTTAAATAACATATCGTCCACAATGAATGTTGTCACGCATTGAAACGCTTTACTCTGCTATCAGTATTCTAATCTATTTGGCTAGAGTATGATTAATATGATGAACCACAAGCTTAAATATTAAATCAATAATTTGTTTGTCGCATAGTGTATTTTATTTCCAAAAGCTGGCTTAGAATGGACAAGTTGTGTATGAACACCCGCATTTACAAGTTGAATCGATCCATAAATATAAATCGATGCACATCATGTACAATTTGAAGAACTACTAAAATTTGATGTCATTTGCAGACTTTTACTGTGTTTTATTTTCAACGTTTACAAAACGTATTCTTACTCCTACATCTGTACTGAATCAATGATAAATTTTCATGAATTTTTACTTTATTTTATTTTGACTTTTTATTTGTACAAAAATGATAATACAATCTCTATTTTTAAGTGATTCATTTTATGTTTTACCATGCAGGTAAAATATTCTAAACGCCAAATCAATAATGATCATCTAAATGGCTCTCTCTCTCTCATCACGCATTTAGGTGAGTGCATACAGAATAACATTAAGCTCGTATAGTCAGTTTTAATCCACAATTATTCTTATATCAGACAAATAGGATGACGATAAGAATGGAAGAACGTTCTTTCGTCCTTAGCCAACAATAAAAATTAGAGACCTATAGCTCTGTATGAAGATTGAAAAGCAAACGAGAGGGCTAATTAGCACTTTTGACTGTAAGCTTTTGAGCTGTAAATGATGAATAAATTTTATTTTTTATTATTATTACTATTATTTTGCTTTATTTAAAATATATTAATGCCCTTATAGGGCCTTTTAATACACCGAGAATATATACAATAAAATAAATATGTAATGATTGGGAAGATAAAATATGTAGAAATTGAAGATAACACACTGGGGTATAAGTTTTCACATGATCAGAAGATACAAACATGAGGAGAATACTAGATTTCATAAAAATAATTCAGGAAACGAAAAGAACAAATCAAATTCCTAGACAGAAATATCAATGATAGAGTTCATATTATTATCAGCAAACCAAGAAAGACATTTTTGTATAACGGAAGTATAAGAAACAAAATGCTTCAAGCGATCAATACCACTTATAGGAAAATCAGCACAAAGCCACTGCTCAGGAAACTTTTAAAAAAACATGGATTCAACAAATTTCTTTTTTTCTCTAACCATAAACCATTGTCACATGTAACAATCTATGTCGTTATTTGCCATATGATTTTCAATTTAATTAGCTGAAGTACATATGGTACCAAGATAAATGACATTTTGACGACTTCTTCAACCATTTTCTCGAACACAGCTGAACAGATATAGCTCCAAGCTTTTTTATCAGTTTAACCCAGATCAGTGTATATCGAAAAAATTTTGAGATTGATTGAGAGAGTCAATATTGGCATTGAAAATTAGATATCGTAGGAATTACAGAAAAGAGAATTTTTTTCCTTACAAGGGAACGTTCTGAGGTGTCCGTTCTGAGACTTCCGATTCCAATGATATGTAAATGGATCGATGGACCTAGTGAGGTAGTAAATACCCTAAAGGATTCGTGCGCATGATTCTTGAGGCCCAGTTTTCTGGAAAACCAGTTTTTCAAGAATTCTGAAAAATAACTGAGACTTTTTTAATGAGCTATAATTGTAGTCCGCAAATTTCTGATTAAAATGAGACATCCCCCAGCTCTACATGATCTTTCTTTGCAAAGTTATAGATTTTACAAGAAAAGCCCTAAATTAATTTCTTCTTATTTCTTTCCTTATTTTTAATCAGAAATTTGCGGACTACAATTATAGCTCATTAAAATAGTCTCAGTTATTTTTCAGAGTTCTTGAAAAACTGGTTTTCCAGAAAACTGGGCCTCAAGGATCATGTGCACGAATCCTTTTAGGGTATTTACTACCTCACTAGGTCCATCGATCCATTTACATATCATTGGAATCGGAAGTCTTAGAACGGACACCTCAGAACGTTCCCTCGTTAGTTTTAGAATTATTCGAATGCTTTGAAGTTAGTCATCAACATTAACACTTCTTTAGGTCTATATCGAAATGAAGCCTGAATTTGAGGCTTCCAGCATCGGTATTTGGTTTTAGTTAAACTCGGGTCGAATAAAAAGAACAAAATTAGCGTCGTAACAAAACTTTTTTCATCGTTTTTCAGACTTCCAATAAAAAAAACGAGAAAGAAAAGAAAAATTCTATTTAAATCTTAAGCAAATATGGTGTTTTTTGAAAAGAAAAATGTCTGAAGTGCATTTTGTTTAGTGAACATACATCCGTCTAACGAGGAAACTACCTGAGGTTATAAATCGATTTCGGGTTGGGACTATTTTTGTTAGAAGGTCCTAACGTGTAGTGAAATACCCCCACTTGCTTCATCCACACGGTGCTTTGTTGCTGAGATACTGAATTTTTAGTCAGTTTTTGTGTATAGAGCTGAGCGTCAAATATTCGAGTGTGAATATACTCGTTAAGGTCTTTCTAATAAAAATATTCCGAATCCGAAATCAATTTATAATCTCGGATAGTGGACGAAGATTTTTTTGTGCCCGGAATTAAGACTTTTTGTGCCCGGTCCGGGTACAAAAAAATCTTTTCGTTGTCTGGTGTTTAGCTGTTGTGCTTACATATTCTCTCTGTTCTGTCTATTTCTGCGACTACGTCAGTAAATAAATGGTGATAATAACCTTTCTCATTATTATTCCTAATCTAATTAAAACCGGGCACAAATCAATCAAATCCGGGCACAAAAGTGTCAAAAGATTTTTTTGTACCCGAACCGGGCACAAAAAGTCTTAAACGGGCACAAATCTGTCTTAATTCCGGGCATAAAAGAACTTTAACCCTCGGATGGTTCCCTCGTTAGACAGATGTATGTTCACTAAAGAAAATGCACTTCAGACATTTTGCTTTTCGAAAAACACCACATTTGTTTAAGATTAAATAGAATTGTTTTTAAATGAAAAGTAACAAGGAGATTGCACTTTATTACACAGACGATGAATTATGTGGATAATAAAAGTTTTCAATTTTGTATGCGAAAATGATGGTTGCCATTTTTTTGCCACTAAGTTATTACAAAGATTGATAAATAATTAATGGATAGTAGAGATAATGACGTATGCATGCGTACTTTTCGATATGTGGCGAACAACATTAACAAGAACTTTCAAGACGTTCAATAAGTTCTTCAATTTGAACTTTGCTTCAACTTTGTCTGTTCTTTTAGTTCATGTCGATAAAAATAGCTCTTTTTCGCAGATGACGTCGGCGTTAAACTAATTTGACTTTATATACTTATTTTTCTGCAAGTAGCTGGCACAAATAAAACGACAACTTAATATATTTAATTAATGAGAATGTAATGAAAGTGAATGGTAAGGTATATCACAGTCTCATATTATTTACTTGCACTGATATAGATGCGGTAAGAAATCATTAAATTAACAGCAAAATTTTCACGTTTTCAACTATTCCTTTTCTTTGTGTTGAATCAAATTATTTTTCGTCTGTTTAGCTAATGTGTAAGTAATGTCTCATTCATTTTGGTTTCACACAAAACTTTTTTCATGTTTTTTGATCGTTTTACGCTTAATGAATCTTATTGTAACCGAGATATTCGACAAGATCTTAGATTCTTAAATTTTTATACTCATTGTGTAAACTGCAATTTCAAGACTTTTAGTCATTCAGCCATGATGTATCAAACTCTTCGTTGAAAATTTTGTTTATAATTATGCAATTGTACCTACATACACGAGATCGCCAAATGGAAATGACAGCGTACATCTTGCTTCTATGTGAGTGCTCTTACATGGATTCGAGTTCCATTTTTCAAGAATTTTTGTCAATTCTTATAAGTTTCTTACAAGATTCTTATGAGATTCTTACAAAAAGAATTGTTCTTTTCCAACAATTTCAGCTTGCTTTAGTAGTATCTCCCTTATTTTCTTCAATTTTATGAAACTCTATATTTCTTTGCCTCTGAATCATCCTTCTATGCATTGATAAAAATCTTTTCAAGATATCGGTAAACTATAACTGTCTAAAGTAAGACGTTTTGTACATACTCCAAAGTTCTAATTAATTTATCATATTCCAGTAGTCGATCGTCAGATAGACACTGATTAAGAATATCAACTTTATTTTTTAACAAAAATCTGATATTGAATTAAAAAATTTAAAATTTTTTTGAGTTTTTAATTTAAATTTTCGATTGAATGGTATTTTATTGGGAAAACAAGGTTTCACACAAATTTTTCACATAAGGCTCGTTTTTAAAGAGAGTTTTCTAAGTTTCAGCAAAGAGTTTGGCAATATTATCTGAAAAAAGAAGGTGAAACCTTCTTTATTGGAAGTCTGAAAAACGATGAAAAAAATTTTATATTTGGATATTTCACTACTCGTCAGGGCCGTTCTAACAAAAATAGTCCCACCCGAAATCGATTTATAACCTCGGGTGGTTTCCTCGTAAGGCTTTTCAAAAGAAAAGTTTCCAGCAGCTAGTAAAAGAAATTAAACTTATACAGTTGACAATGAGCAAAAAAAACCACCCTATTGTCTTTTTCAATATATCAAGAGCCAATGATGCAGTATCTCTTTACTCTTTTTACTTTTCGAATCGTAGAAATAAAAAAAAATGAACAATTTTCATCTGAACTAACAATAAGTAGAAAAAACACACACAAAACATAAAAGTCGATTGAAGTATTAAAAAAAAATCACATTGAACAAAATAATAATGCGTACATACACACACACGCGCACACACACATCTCGTATTCGTTTTATTATTATTCTTTTTTACAAAGATTAGTACAAAAATATTTTATCAAAACACAGTTTCGTTCTAATAACATCAGACAAAAAGAGTATAGATATGTACAATTTGAATTAAATAATTCGAGCAGATAAAAATGAGTTTAAGAGAATATGAGTGCTTAAAATAAATGAGTGTTCAAATCTGCTATCATCAAAGAACTATTTGGAATTCAAATATACAATCAACACAGAGAAAATAAAACAAAAAAATGCATCACATTTTAATTGTATTTATCAAAGGATATGTCCATGATGTTTTTAAAACTAATCTAATTAAATACAAAAAAAGAGAATGAAACAATGACGTTGACCGGCAACCATTCAAAATGATGTACAAAATGAACATATTTTTAAAATTTTTGTGTTTTGAAATTAAAAATTCTTTTGTATGATATGAGTAAAATTAATGACTAGTATAATTCACTGCGAATATTTTTATTTGTGATCCAAAATTCATTGCGTTCGATTTCGACGTTTTACAAAAATAAGTTAAGAATGTATTCTATTGTTGTTATTTTCTGGCCATAAGATGACTAGACATCTAACTATAAATAATTGGTAAGTATTTTGCTATTCTCAGGAGACAAAATTATCAAATGAGCCAAGATACTCTAGGGCAGCACGATAACAGAATTGATATTGATCCTAAATTCATAGCGTAGTAAAATGATTTCATAATTTAATCCCGTAATATGTAACACTTACCTCTGTTTGTACCATGGCTGGCCTTTGAGTTCTTAGTAGTTTCACTGTTTGAAATACATCGACAACTCCTTCATACCGAATTCTATCTAATACAATACTAAGTGTAATGAATACTCCTGTTCGTCCAACACCGGCTAGAAAAAACAGGAGTAAATAAAATTCGTTTTTTTTTAATATATTGCCAATATCTTCTCTTTACCTGAACAATGAACTATAATCGGACCATCTTGTCCAAACTGTTCTTTCGTTTTGTGAACTTGACCAATAAAATCAATGAAACCTTCACCAAATTTAGGTACTCCTTGATCTGGCCACTAAAATAACACGAACTCATGATACTTTTGCACATATTTTATTAAAGATAAACAAGGGCATACTTCAGTGTATAGAAATTGCCGAACTGTTCGAGATAGACGATCCTTTTTTAAAAAAAAGACATAAATGCTTTAATAAATATGTAAATACTTGAAAAACACATAACATACTCTAGAATCTGTCACTTTGAATTCTCTTAGTACATATTGAGGCATATTGTATTCAGCGATTGGATCAACAACAAAATAACCATATCTAGAAGAATGTTCATTTGGCCAGTACTGAACACATTTTTCCTACAATAAATTTATATTTTAGACAATGAACTGAGATATATATTGTTCTACCTACTCTTCCCATTTCTTTTAATTTGGTTAACATGACAATAATTGTTGAATTATGTTCCCATAACATTCTCCAAAAGTCATCAACAGTCTCTAATAGTGGTCCCTGAGTAGCAATGTATGCTTTTGGAGAACGATAACCCTACATTAGATAAATTTATTTGCTAAACATGTTTCATGTAAGAGTATTAATCATCTTACATCAATATAACTGGCATTTATATAATCTGATCCATCAATACCGCGTATGGGTGATAAACACACACGTGTATTCTCATCTATAAAATAAATGCTATAGATACATCCAGCATCAGTTGGGTTGTACAATAATATACGTACATGGTAAAATATTCACTAGACGATTTTTGAATTTATTCGATGGTAAATTAGCACTTATAAATTTAGATGGTTGTGCTTTAACATTGGCTAGTCGCTAAAAATAAATAGAATTTTTAGTCTTAATCATAAGATGTGTTTTATTTTTTCTGAAAACAGACTTTAAATTCTAATTCCATTTCTGTTAATGAACTATCATTAATTGGCTGTAATAAACGCTGTAAATGCGCAAATAAATTTTTAGCTATTATTTCGGTATAACCGGATTGAATAGCTTCATTAACAGCATCATGGATAAATATGTACTGTTCTTCTGTTTGAACAATGTAATTACTATAAAATAATAATAAAAATTTTTGGTTAACATTTTAGTGTTCTAGCAATGTGTATAATTCTCGTATGTGATTGAGACATATGATCAGTATACTAACGTACCGTTGTGATCTCAACAACGTGACATGTCCATATATATCGACTGTTTTTTCGTGTTTAAGACGATCAATCATGGCATCCAAGACAATAAAGCATCCAGTACGACCAACACCGGCGCTACAATGGACTATAATTGGACCAGAATCAGCCGGATTTAATATTTTCACACGCCTCAAAAACAGCAGAAACGCTGTTGCATGATCTGGTAATCCGTGATCAGGCCATGCTGTAAATTGACAATGACGTATTTCACGTTTTTCTGGGTGACCAATCTGAAGATGAAATAATTAGTGTATAAATAGTTTTGTCAAAGCAAAAATTAACTCTAATATACATATTAATACTGTTAAAAGCTGAAAAATACCCAGGCTATATTGAATGTTCTTATACTGTAAGTCGCTAATTCAATAAAATCTGTCAGGGCTACTTGGATGGGTCCGTATGTTTCTGTTCCTCTTGATGGCCAGTACTGATCACATTTAAGACGATTTCGTTCTTCTAATTTAGTCATCATTACAATACATGCTGAATTCGTTTCAAAAACCATTCGCCAAAAATCGCCAAATGTGTCAGGTAACGGACCCTGTGTTGCAATATACATATTTTGCTTTCTATAGCCATCCATGTAATTGGCATTAATATAATCACTTCCCGGTATACCATCTATGGGCCTCAACACAACTCTCGAATGATCATAGGCAATGACATTTGCATAACGATTTTTTGCACGGTTATATTCCAACAATGAATTGTCCCATGAAAATTGTTGACCAGGATCAATTGACTATAAAAGTGTTAAAAATATCATAGAAAATAAAACATCAAATCACCTTTTTACTAACTTCGTATTCTTGTGAAAATTTATAATTATCTGCTGCTTTTAAACGTTCAACATGTGTTGCAAAATCATCAACGTGAATGGGTGGATGAGTTTTTACACCTAAATTGAAAATTAGCCATTTGTCATCTGTTTCATGTTTATATAGTAAAAAAGTACTTACTGTAAGTATTACTAGCCGTAATACAGTGTGTACGTCTCGCTTCGACTGGTTCCCCAGATGATGCTGGTGAGATAGCTGGAGGTAGTATCGGCATTTCCATTGTAATCACTTTTGGTGTTAAATCGAATGGAACTGATTCAGGTGGCGGCGTAATTGGTTTCTTTTTCGTACGACTACAAAAGAAATTCAAAATGATATTTGCTCTTTTCCTATTCCACGAATACTAACCTATATTTAACAGCAAAAACGATCAACATAATAAATAGAATGAAAATACTAACAACAATCCCAAATATCCATAATAAATTGTTCATTGTATCCTGATTTGCTTGAATAGGTTTTGAATTTAAGATAATCGGAGTTGTTGCACTTGATGCTGTTAAATTCTAAAAATAATAACCCATGTCAATTAGAGAGTACCTATTACATTCTTTTTTATACATACCTCCTTTTTTCGATTAAATCCCCATGAAACAAGTTTTACTTTGCAATTTGTTTCTATGAGTGAATTGTTATACACATTTGCAGCAAATGGATAATAATCTACTGTTGTTTTACCATCACCGAGGAAAAATGTATCGGGAAGTTTGTCTGCTGGAAATACAGCAGCTGTATAACAACAATCTCTCCGACCCTAAAGATATTAGACAAAAAAATATATTATTGCTGTATTACTGAAATACGTGAGATATGTGACTGTCATACTTCTTGAGGAACGTAGGACTGATATGTGACTTTTTCAAGTAAGTGTACAACAACATAATAACGATCAATTGGTCCATTTTTAGTTGATGCTTTGTGTAAAACTAATGGTACTGTTTTACCACCGACATTTTTCATTCCACGTTTAATGTCTGGTCGATCTACGTAGGGTGGTGCTAATTATTGGAAAACAATACAAAAGACAATATAAATTATCATACGTAAACTGAAAATACGTACAATCATAATCGGTTTGAAATCGAACTGTTGCTGGACGACTGTAAACTTTAACAGTGGAATGACCAGATGAATATGAATCATCGGCAGTTGTTGCACTCAAATTTAACGTGTAATTTGTGTTTGCCGCTAAACCTGTTACAAGCCATTCGCGATTAACTACTCCATGTGCTGGCAGTGTAATAAGCCCAGCTGAATTACGATGAGAATTAAAGCGTGGTGTACCCAAACCATCGACATAATTTTGGACACCTTCATAATGTACCTAAAAGTAGAACAAGAATAATGCAACCGCTTTCATCTTATAGTCAAGTATATAGCTTACTTCTAATCTCTGTACTTTTCGACCATAATGAGGAGTTTTGTCTTCAAAATTAAACCAAATTCGAACACTATTTGCTGTCACTTCAGTATAAGTCATATCTGTTGGTCTACTCAACGAATCGTCATATTGCGTTATGAATTGAGGCTCTAAGTAAAGACAATAACAGATAAGGATAATTTAGTGAAATATTATCATTTTAATTTTTTAATATAAAGTCCATCAATAAAGGAACATACAATTTTTCAATTCGTATCTCTTATATATTTCTAGTTGAATGACACGATCAATGAACATGAAATAACTATTGATGAGGATTTAGAGAGTATAAGAAAAACAAAACTTGTAACTTTAATCTGTGGCAACCTAAATACAGTACTACAAAGATGAAAATGGTTTTTCTCCATTTTATCTAGCGTATCGAAGACAAAATATTTTAGAATATTTTAGAAAACTAGAACCTAATACTCAAACCGTTTGATCAATTTGCCTTCTGTCAGAACATATAGATTTTAATAGTTTTTAGATGAAAATTTCCAGTTTTATTTCTATAGGCGAAAACAAATCATCTTCCATTTGTCATATATTTTGGTCCTAGTCAAAATCCTTACTATTAGACTACAAAAAAAATAATAAAACATGTTTATACACGATCGTTTTGTAAAGAAAATATGTCAACAGAAATATTACAGAAAAAAACCATTATCATGCATATTTCCTAATCGTTTTCTACCATCTGTAACAATTTGAGTGTAAAACATTGATGATTGAATAAATAAACTGTACATGTTGATGAAAACACAAATAAAGACAAATACTATAAAAGAGTCAAAGTGAGTTATCTTAGTATTTGAAAATATTTATTTGTAAATAGTATACAAAGTAAGAGAGAGAGAGAGGGCGAGAGAGAAAGAGAGTGTTTTCAAAGTTTCAACTCTTTCCCTCAAATATTTTGCAAATAGTTGACTTCAAGCTCCTGAAAATTAATATCAGTAATGAAATATTTTCATTAAATGGGAGAAAAACTGCAGCAAAAATCCAGTATTTTTAGAAAGTTTTCCAGAAAATAGTAGACAAAATGCAAATTATTAATATTCATTAAAAATAAATTATGTTTTATACATTTCTTCGATGTAATTTAAACTAATGTTTTTCTTATTCGTAAAATGAGATTTAGTCTGTGATATATTTTATACTCAAACTATTCAATATTTTCAGTTATTTTTTAAACTGCTTGTATATATATGTAAATCGTTTTGTGTCAAATATGTTTTTGTATCATCATTTTTCTTGACTACAATGAGCGATGCCACTCATTCGATATATCCCCAATATATATGTACATATAGTACGTGTTCAATTAAGAAACTATTATCAGGTCAGTAAACCACAGTATGTAGACAGAATAACAGAGTGAAAAAAGGAGAAAATGGATTGTGTGTAACGATTCTAATAGACGAAGAAAAAAAAAAGAATAGGAGGAACAAAGAAATGTTCTTTTAAGCAGAGCAGAGTTCATTTATTCACATACGGATATCATTAAAATAGATGTGCGTAATAAATTTAGTACATGTGGACAATGAATAGCTTTTACTCTAACATAAAAGCCTGATGTTTACATAAACTATCAAGCGGCAAAATTCATCATGAAATATTGTTCAACATTTTTTTCCTGTTTTTATTTACAAACTGATAGTTAGACGATTGACAAATTCGAAAGCTATTGATTGATTACACGTAGTAAAATTAAAGATTTTATCAATCTCGATAAGTATACTATAAATTATAAAATTTGACTAGTTGATGTAAGAATGCTATATTTTGATTGACTGAAAAATATGTCATTTAAAACTATTTGATGATACAGTAACAATTTAAAGATATCTATTATTAATCTTATTTTTCTTTCATTAAATACTAAAATTGACAATATACATCGATAAAAAACATGATCGAAAATGAATAAATAGTGGATAAGCAGTTTTAGGAAAAATATAAGATAAGAAACGTTTAAATGTCTTCTTATTTCTGTCATGCATGAACATTATTTGCATGAAAGCACTAATGATCATCTTAAATATATTATTTTACATGAGACCTTTAACAGCATAAATTTAGCTCAAATTTAGGACAGCTGTCAGCGTCTTATTTTGTTCATTTTGATACTAAGATATTTCTCTTTTCTATATATGAAAAATATTTGAACTTTGATTGACTATATTACGTACCGAGAGAGTAAAATGATACCTAGTCCTCAACGAAAACAATAGGTTATCTAATCTGATGTAATTTAATTTTAAAAAATTACAAAATAAATTTCATATAGTTAATATGAATGATGAAGTTTTTTAATCTATTAAATACTTTCTGAAATCACACACAGATAAAGAATTCTTTTTAAAAAAAAAAGTAAAATAAAATGAATACTCTATTTGTGATCCATCAGTCGGATTAATAAGAGAAAAAAAAATGTTAAAACCAATGTCTTATTAGCCTAAAACGTTAGACTAGTCTCATCTCTCGTTTTATTATACATAGTAATAATATATTGAATGAATCGAGCTAAGATTATAAAAAAAAAAGAAAAGTGGGTTTCTCTGTCGTTTCTATACTTCAGGCTATATAAAATTTCACCTACAATCGATATAATCCCCCCTCCTGAATGTCACATATAAATACACATGGCTGTTGAAAAGTATGACGATTTATGACTGTCTCCGTTTTTTTTTTTTCTTCTAACAAAACAAAAAAGAAAGTTTCCTTAGTCATTAAAAGACCAACAAATGCCGGAAGGAAATCAAAATCATTTTAAGAGAAAAACGACAGGAAAAAATAGAGAAAATAAAAATCTCAATTAGAATCAAAACTGTTAATTTTACGCAAAATTCAATTGATTTTATTATTGGCTTTTATCATACACACACACAACTACTTACTGCGATAGACATCAGCTACATATATTTCGGACATTGTACCGGCATAAATTTGGGGTGCCGAACTATCTTTTCTCACAGTAAATTCTGCGTTAACACGGACATTATAAATAACATCAGGCTTTAATTTACTGATTAATGTTGATGACGCATGAGGTGGCGGTGAATATAGTGGCCATTTTTCGATATCTTTTGTTTCTGATTTATCATTATAATAAACAATATATCTTGACACTTCAGGATGATATATGGGATCCCAGGTTACATTGATACATGTATCATTAACACGAAATACACGAACATTTAATGGTGCTGGATCTAAAATGAAAAAGACTAAATTCAAGATAGACTGTCTTATAGCAAACAAACAGAACATAGAGTTTGCAAATTTGTTTCTATGATGAAAAAAAATAGAATGTTTACTATTATAACAAAAAAGATATTTTACTACTAATACTAGAATCTATACTCAATAACGTGTATTTTTCTTCTTTCCCAAGAATAATATCAAAATAACTTTGTGATAATATGAACAGTAGTTCTTAGATTTAAATTCATAGAAAGAGTTTTGTAATTCAAAAGTTTACAACAGGTTTTCGAAGAATTATCGGAGAAAATTTTGATTTCCCTCAAGTGATGATCAATTTTCGATAGGTACACTTTTGTTTAGTAATTTTTATTCCAAAAAAACACCATGTTTTTCTGCATAAACGAGAAAAAAAGACTATAAAGCTAAAGAACTGATATATTGTTCTTGAAGTTAGAAGAAGAAAAAAAAAACAACAAAAAATTTGAATAGATACTGAAAAAAAATCACATTTTTCAACATATCAGATTTATTTTGTATTTTTTAGAAATGTAATTTAATCTTACGTGTGGGACGATTATAATCATTGACGGCCTGTGTTTTATCGATGTAAAAATAGTAGACAAACACCAAGAAAAGTTTATCATTTACAGTTGACAACGATGATAATAGTAGCATGAAAAGTTGAAATGATACTTTAGATAAACGATTTAATAATAATAATAGTAATTATCAATTACGATAATAATAAATTTATTTAATAAACCACAAATAATAAAAAGAACGAAGAAGAAAATGTTTCAATTTTCTATTTGTTTCTTCGTCTTTTCATTCTTTATTACGTAAACATTTGAATTTTTTCAAAATAATTTTTAAATAATAACATTCGAAATATGTATGTGTGTATGTGTATGGATTTTTTTTTTTCTATTTTTAAAAAAAAATGATCAAATTTACATCTGTACTGACAGCTTTCTGTTGTTTCATTTCATATAAAAACAGATAGGCATCATTTTGAACATCTACATTAGAGATAAATAGAAAAAAAAAAAAAAAAAGTTCTTTTCTACGGTCTGACATGCAACAACAACAACAAAAAAGAGAAAAGAAAAATGAGGATGGATAAAATAGTATTATTTAGAAACTCTACAGTAAGATAGAAAAGAAACGGCGAAATGAGAGAGGGAGAGAAAGTGAGAGAGCATAGTATGGGTGATATACATACATGAAAAAAAAGAAGAAAAAAAAAAAAAATTCGACATTTTGAAGTCAAATATTTTTGTAATAAAATAATAACATGTAACATGAGGAAACGAATTTAAAATGTATGGTATTGACTAGCATAAGCATACATTCAATAGATTTGATTGAGGTGATATTATAATGGCAATACTATTTTTTTTTTTTTGTTATATTTATTTCATTTATGTTCTTGACATGAAATCCTTGAAACATTTCTTATTTCAATCACACACACACACATATAATGACCTCATTTTTTGTACAGTTCACTATTAATCAAAATATAAAATATATATATTATATTTTATTCCATGTTGATGAAAAAAACTAGGCTAAATTTTCTTCTCTTTCCGAAGAAAAACAAATGTATTGAAATTGATTCGTGATTTACCTCCACACTACACGTTGATTATTAATGCTCTTCTATTAGATAATTAAACTTACGCATTCAGACTGAAGACAATGTTTATTTCTATAGCACAATCTATAATATATGAGAACTAGATACTAATCAACAAGAAAAATAGAGTAGAGGAAAACAGAAGGAAAGTGAAGCTCAAAGCAACACTATACAGATGATAGAACAGACTACTAAAACTATAAATTTTAAAGTATTAGTTTTATTTTTTTTGCACTAAATTATCTAAACCATATAATAAACGTAGTCAGAAAATATGTTGATATTAAAAACAATCGTTTTATTTCATAAATTCTCTTCATAGTTAGTTTTTATTAATCTTTTTACTGTGAATATTTTTATTATTTTATGTTTTTATGCTATAAAATAAATTCGATTTATGAATAAGTAAAAGTCGATAATTCATTGAATAATTCTCTCTACTTATTGATGTTTCTAAAAAACACACATGTATTAAAACAGTTAAATGGATCACAATGACATACAAAAAAATAAAAAAAGAAGGCAAAACCTTGAAATGTTTATTTGTCTATTATTTATTTATTATTGTTTAAAAATTTAATTATTTTCTTTTCGTTTTCTATATTAAAATTTTTTTTTTTTTATAATATAATACTTGTGAAAAGAAGAAAGTGTCACACTTCCGTTCTTAAAGATAACTTGTAGAGTAATATAGAAGGGAACAAAAGAAAATTGAAAAATATATATATATTTCAAAATAGACTTGTCTGATGTATGATCTTTAAGAAATTTTAAACTTTTCAAAATATAACTAAACAATTGGTGATTATTTTGAAAAGTTCAAGTGTAAGACACCTATATGCATTTGACTTAAAATGAATGAAGAGACGTATACTAATAGTTAAAGTATCATATCATACTATAAAAAATAGTTTTAATATGTATATTATGGCTGATTTTTCTTAAAGAATAATTCAGCGTCGCTTATTTCCTATTAAAGAATGTGTAATTATTTGAAGTATATCATTCAAGCTTAATAAAGGATGCTACGAAGAAAAACAGATAAGAAGACACATTGTTGAAAGAAATTGAAGTATTAACACCTATGAGTAAAGAAGAAGAAGAAAAAAAAAAGGTAAATTTTTAACAAAATCAATGAAAATAGTAAAATATTTTACGGATAGATTCAACATTTCTCAGTTTTCTCGAAATTGTAAAAAGCATCTGTTATATAACAAAATTGAACAAGTTTGTTTGTAAACATTAACTTGTAAATCCATAAACTATAGAGTAAGTATGAAAGAAAAAGGGAGAAAAAGTATTATTCTCGATAGTGATAAGTGCCTTTATGTGTGTCAATACTCAAGTACAACTTCAACTTACACAGGAAATTCAACATATGTTTGATAATGAAAAAGAAAAAGAGTTCACATTTACTTTTGAGGAAAAAAAAATATTTATTTCGTTTTTTTTTATTAAAGATAAATAATAATATATCTATCATTATATAATTGAGAGATTATTGTTCATCTAAACACACTTACACTTTATAGAATAAAAATAAACAAATCTTTGCTGAAAAAAACTTGAAAATATTACTTATTCCAAAATTAAAAATATCTAAGAATTATTTCTGCTTTATGTAAATTTTGAATGTGGTCGGTGATGTAGAGAAAAATTTTTCAATATAGAAACTTCTATCTTAGATTGTACAAAACAAATATTTGTTATATACAATATTATAATTCTCAATTGGCTACACAAATTTGAGATTTGACTAGGCAGGCTTAAAATTGTCCAACGACATATAGATTTATGGACATTTGTTACAGGCATTCTTTAATGCAGTTCAATTTGAAATCTAAATAGGCAAACTCTTGGGAAGACAATGTTTCAGCAAATTGGATTTTACATAGCCATTTTGGGAATGTAAACCATGAAGACTATTGGAAATAACTGGACGATACTAGAGCCACAAGAGTGAGTCACAACAGAAGAATACAGTAGATATAACAGTTGTGGAAACGTTTTTTATATAAACTCACATCAAAACCTGTTTTTATAATCCACTCTAACGACTGGAATAGTTGTTACTGATATCAACTAGATGTTGTTGAAGTGTTTAGATGATTATGAAGTCAAAGTGCTTTTTGAAATTCAATTTGCTAAAACATTTATGTTTTCCGAAGAGTATTTAGATTTCAAATCGAACTGAATTAGAGAATACTTGTAGCAAATATCCAAAAAACGATATATTGTTGGATAATTTTAAGCCTGTCTGGTCAAATCTCACATTTGTCTAGCTAACTTAGAATTGTAGTTCTACCTGCAACTAGAGCCCTGCAGTTTATGACTTTTTGACAGCCTATAAGCTAACCTACGACACTCGTAACCTAAACCTAATCTAACCTATTAATGTTTTTCGTAACTTAACCTAGATTAACCTAATATAACCTTTTGCAATTTTTTCCCAAAATCTGGTTTCAGAAGTCTAAACGTCAGTTTTGTTCCATATTTTTATTGTTTTTTATCTAAACAACGTCTGAAAGGTAAGCTTATACAAAATAAATCACATTTTACATGAATATAGAAATGAATCGGTTAAGTCTTTTATTCTTTAATGCAATCTTTGGAAAATAGCTTTTTGAATAGGGAGACCCTCGTAAGAGTAGACCGGAATTCCACTTTATGCTCTCGATACTACGAAGGTTCTGTTATTGTTGTGTATTTTACCATCTATTTTTAGCAAACAGAAGTTTTTTCTCTGTACTTCCTTTTTTGGTTGTGCTATTTTTCATTTTAAAAATAATTCAGTTTAACTAAAGAACCTCAGTCTGAACTTCATCCTCAATCGATAAAATTTCAATCGGATTACGCTTTATTACCCAAAGTGTTGGCTGTTTTAATCTGATCTTTCAAAATCGGTTTTTTTCGTTTAGGTTAAAAATAGGTTATCAACGATGTAACCTACAACATAACCTATAAAAAATTTCATAACCTAAACCTAACCGAACCTATAGGTTAGGTTTAACCTACAGAGCTCTACTTGCAACATATCTGCACAAAAACATCTCATTTTGTTCTAACAGATAGCAAAGTTGGACATCTTTGGACATTAAATAGTAAAAGAAAATAGTAAAGTTGGACAGTCAACTAGGTTGCAAAAATACGAGAATTTTTTTGTTCGCTTTTTCAGCTAAATCATACATTGTCAGATGCAGTTTTTGACGCTGATGTCAAATTTCGTATGGAAACTAAAAAAGAAAATTTAATCTATGTGAAAAAATTCAATTTTATTGAAACTTTTTATTAGCATTTTTCAATAAAGTTCAATTTTTGCATGTATTCTCGCTCAATAAGCGCTAAAAAACATGCAGACAGAGTGTTGCTCGTTCAATTTTTACATTGATTATATTAACGTTTGATCGAAATGAGAATGTAAATCGTAGAATAAAGCGAATAAAAGATTCTTTTGTCAATCTATAATTTATACAGGTAGCATTGACATACAAAAGTCTTTTGTAAAAAACGGTAAACATAAAAGATATTTATTGCCTTTGATGTATGTGTCAAAACTGGAAGCAAAATTCAAGAGAGATATATAGACTTGTTGAAAGAAAAGTGTACAGAAGATCGCTTCTTCCAGCACTCGATAATATATATCGTAAAACAAATAGATAAAGTAAAATAACATTCAACACTTTGAATGATAAACAAATACAATATTCTTATATTAAAATGAAAGACATGAAGATGATATTCGTTTTGTATATCTGTACAATACACCATTGAAATGGGTATTTAGGATACATACTGATATAAACATTCTTTCGCAAAAGGACACTTTTCTGTTGTGTATCAACAATGTGTGTTTCGCTATCAAATACACGCGGTGACTAGCGACAATATTCTATCGTCGCTGTTTGCAATATTGAAGTATTTTTTTCAGAAGAAGAATGAAAGTTAAAAATAGAAATTAGTTTTTCTTTTATCAATAAAAGTATATTAGTTTGTGTGCACTAAGTACTATATCTTTCCCACTCAACTAACCTTTCATATTAATATACATCTGATAGATAGTTGTCGTTGAATTTTGACCATTTCTATCTGAACATCTAGCCGAAAATCTTATTGTTCGATTTGGTTGTACGCCTAAACATAGAAATTAGTATAATAATAGTTGATGTTGCTTTGATGATCTCACCACTCACTGTATGGATCATTTGCTTTTATTTGTATATCTAATTTCTTAATACTGTTATCAAATGATTGCATTTGTATTGTTCGATTAGCTTCAACATCCGTTATTGTTATAAATACTTTATCAATAGCATTTAAATTTGGTGGTAAATCCCAGGTAACGCTCATCATGTGAGCATTGGCTATGTATGCTGTTAAATTTGTTGGAGCCAATTGTCCTAAAATAAAAAAGTGAAATTAATAGATTTATCACAAATAGTTATTTAGGTTGCGTAACAAAATGACTCTAGTAGGTACTAATGACGAAACCTCTAATTAAACAGTTTAAATTTTAGTTTGTAATTAATTTGGACTACATCCGCACAACACTCACTCAAATTTAATGAAAATCAGGTACAACAGTGTGAGACTATCTATGTAATGAACGAGTTAGACACACAAACTTGAAGACATGTTTAGCAGATTCGTGTTAGTAGTACAACACAAAAAAGTTAGGCGATGTCTCGGCCAACGTGAAAAACAATTGCCTAGAAATAATTTACTATTTTCTACTCACAAGTTGTTCTTAGTAATTTCGTATGTTAGTCGAGCTGGATATGAGAGAGATTATCTATAAACACATTGCAATCTCCACTTCGAATAGAATTATCGTCTGTTCCTACCGCCAGAGTAGAGATGTACAACCCGATCCGAAGTTTGGATACGGATACAAAGTTGTCGGGTACGGGTTCCGTTTTTTTTATTTACCCGAAAACCGGAAGGTGGAAAAACACAAGATTTTGGATAAAATACATGAAGTTTTAAAAAACAGTTACTCGAGAATGTAATGATAGTTTGTCATCTCCAGCCGAAAAACAAAACGGAGAAAATTTTTAGGCATAAGTCGGATACAGATCGAGTACGGATACAAAGTTCTCGGGTCGGATCAAATACAGATGGAAAAAAAATTTTCGAGTCGAATACGGGTACGAAAACGGTACCCGTGCACATCTCTGCGCTAGAGTCAATCTTATTTCGTAAACACAAAATACCCGGTGCTGATGATTTACGAGAAACAGAAATAGATGGAATGTAGTCTTAAACTTGTGAAAAATATTTTTTTTGATGAAAGAAGAAGAAATCCACAATAAACTCATATCAGTTTATTCTACTATTTCATTGCCAAATACATGTAAAAATACCACTTGAAATAATAGTGTCCAAACAAGCTAGAACCGCATTAGTGAGCACGACAGAGGTAAGAGAGGAACATACATTAATAGGATGAAAGTTTTGTAAGATGGCAGACTTGCAGTAAATTTATTTTTGTACGTTTTATGCACCATTCGATAGAAAACTTTGCGCTGATCGCGAATATCACTTCCCCGGCTCTCAAAACCTTTTCCTCGCAGAGGACTTCGCAAAATACTGAGGGGCCTTAAAAACCCCAAAATCGCAAGGTTTTCAGAAAATGGCTGTAGTTTTTCAAGTTACGGTTTCAAAGCTTGAATCAAAGTTTTTTGGATTCAGCATCGAAAACTGAATTGGTAACTAACCTGAAAGTCATTTTTAGACCCAAACGTCTATCCGTTAAGGATGCCTCGAGCTGAAGGTCTAAAAACGGGTCTTTGTTTTTAAAAACCTATCTGTTTTTTTGTAAGGGGTCGAAGAGCCAACTTTTATACATGGTGAGATTCGCCAGATGCCCCTCTTCAAAAATATAACTTTTTTTTTAAATTTTATTTCCTCGCTGAGATACGTCGATTTTAGTGGGGACCATGTAAAAACGGCCAAGTCCGTTTCAGTTAGTTTTGCGAGTTTTGATTGAAATGAAGTCGTATTATCGCCAGATAGACAAAAAACCACAGAGAATCCGATGGACATGTTCTCGAGCGGTATCTGCAAAGGATTTCCGGAAGATCTTCACAGGGTCTTCAGAGGGTTTTAGAAGGGTCTGCAGTAAAAGTTGCGCTGATCTGAGACGGATCCAAGATATTTGGTACTAGTGATCACTAGTCACTTATTCCCTATTTTTTTAGTTAACTAATCTAAGTTTGTCTCTCTTTTAGATTACTTATTCACCTTTTCTATATTTCCATTAAACTTATTATGCCTCTAGTCAACCGTCGCCGTTCTCACTCCCGTACTAATGCTTCGAAACGCCGATCAGAGGAAGATGCTGCTGAAAAAAGTGAAAGCTCAAATCCGGAAGAATTCTCTGATATGGGTGAGGATGAAGGTGACACCCTCACCCTTCTAGAACCCTCTGAAGATCCTGTGAAGATCTTCCGGAAATCCTTTGCAGATACCGCTCGAGAGCATGTCCATCGGATTCTCTGTGGTTTTTTGTCTATCTGGCGATAATACGACTTCATTTCAATCAAAACTCGCAAAACTAACTGAAACG